TTTACAAGACAAAGAATTAGAAATGACATTTTAAACTCACTAAGACTTCAGTGACAACTCCCAGAATAAAAAGAGGCAAGCTTCCTATTTATTTCTGTAACTGCCGTTTGTAAAACACTGATTAAATAAACAGTGGATAAGCAATAGTGTTTTCAGGAAACACTACAGGCAAAGTATAATTCATTCATCTAAGTATGTTTAGAACAAATCCAAAGAAAGACTATTTTGCATTCACAGCAGCAGCCCTTTTTCCCCAGTGTGGAGTGCACATGCATCCATCCCATTGGCAAGGCGGGTCTGGATCAGCACACAGCAGGGACAGCAGAATGTCTGTGTGAAGACTGCTTCACTGGGAAAGAGAGAACCTAAATAATATTCATAAAGGCCAAATTAAAATATTATATGAAGCCTTGATTAGGCTTGACAGGTTTCCTAAAGGCATTCTTGTTGTAACTAGTGCTTAACATCAGCTGAAGATTTGAGAAAGGGCAGCCACCTCCACCTCCTGCAGCCTTTACGTAATGGTGGGCGAGACTCTGCACTGTGTTCTGCTGAACTCTTTCATTCTGAGTTGCATATGTATGCTACTTCAGTTACTGTGAAATTAATTTTATCCCAAAATTACAAGCACAGTTGTAAATGTACTCTCCATAATGATACAATATAAAAAGCATAGTGCAGATACCTCTGTGCGATCTTCTCATACTTCTGAGAAGTAAACTTTAAAATGGATTAGCAGTACTTTAGGATTCATTTCTTTGATTTTTTGGAAAAGTCACAAAGCCCTTTTACTCAGGTCAGAGACATTTATTTTCCTGTTTTCTTGTGATTAATTTCAAAAGACAACCATGTCTTGCCTTGAAGCTTGCAATGTTTTTGGGGCCACTTAAAATAGAAGTAAATTATTGTAGGCTCTTGATAACTGGGAGAGAGATGGGTAGTTGTAAGACAAATTCGAGAGAAACTTCTCCTCTTTTCCTAATGCCCACATACAAATGCATAGCAGCAACATTCCTCAGCACGTGCTTGAGGTTCACTACAGTGACTTGTGAGTACAGGAAAATGTAACTTAAAGGGTAACAACCAAAGATTTCAAAGTGCACAACAGATAAATAACAGGAATATTGGTTAATGTGGATGGCAGAAATTGTTTACAAGAGAAAAAACGAATTGGTATTTCTTGGTATAATTTTGGTCAAAGCAAGTTTTTGTTAATACAGCTAATGTGGATGGCAGAAATTGTTTACAAAAGAAAAAATGAATTGGTATTTCTTGGTATAATTTTGGTCAAAGCAAGTTTCTATTAATACAGCTGGAAATACATGAAATGATAACTTTTTATTCTTTAAAAACTAAAGAAAGATATATATCAATTCTCCTTTACACTAAATAAGATTAATTAAGCTGTTGAAATTACTTGGATATTCATAGGTGTTTTGAAATTTATTAATCGGAAATTAGCTTTATGCTCTTGTTCTTGATGAATGCTGAGTGTGGAAGTGTTAGGGTTGAGGTCTTTTTACTTTATGTTTTTATTTTTCTATATATTCCATAATCCCAAATGGAAATGTAGCTAGTTGTGAAGAATGGTATCAATTGTGGGGTTTTTTTTTGTTCCTCTACATATTAGAGCATGCATTAAAAACACATATTCACCCTGATTCTATCACATAGACATCAAAAAAGGTTTTTAAATTTGTGATTAAAGCTTTCCAGGTTAAAAGAAACACGAACAAGGAGTTGATTAGAGCATAGTTGTGACCACCAGGGTTGTGGGCTTGATCCCCAGATAGACTATTCACAGAAGGGCTGGATTTGATGACCCTTCCAACTAAGAATATCCTGTGATCCTGAGCATAGGAAAGAGAAACCATTTGAATGAGAGGAGGGCATGGCAGGGAGTGCGTGGCCAGGACTGCAGGGCCAGAGGCATTTCTGGAGACCAAACAGCACAGGACAGTTTCCTGCCATTTGAAATCAGGGAAGACATAGAGGGCAGGGAAGAATTATGTGTTTGTTGTTTGGTTTTGTTTTCTGCATTTTCTTTATCACCTATCTCCTGCCCCAAATTTTAACTTTCTGTGCAAATGAAATTTGGTTTGGTCAAGTGTGGAAGCACTTTAGTTTTTTGAGGAAGCTCACTGAGGACAAAGCCTAAACAGATCCTTGCCTCAAAGCTGTGGTTCCCTTCTAGACCCTGTCATAGTCATATAAAGTGTCCAGTGGAGTGAAAGTTTAAGCTTTTAGTGTACTTGCAATCTTCTTCTCTAATCAGGTTATTTTGTCTTTAAACTTAAAAATCAGCCTAACATAGATAAGAGAGAGGGTCAGATTAATCACTGAGAGCTCTGTGTCGACATGCACACAGAATTACAGACACTACTGAGTCTGCTGAAAGGGTCACATAAATGTGGTTTGTTGGTACTCACCTGTAATGATTTAATAAAATGTTTCACTATTTCATAGGACAAGCAAAATAATGCAATTTACTACATGAATCTATCTGTGTATTTCATAATTGTTTTGTATTCAGTTCTAAGAACAACATATTTATAATCTAGTGAAAACATATTTTTTGTCCAGTTAGCACAGTCACTTTACAGAATTTTTGTTTATGCTTACATTTCCAAAGGCAGTATTTATTTCATCAAGGCTGAGATTCTTAGAATTTTCAATAGTGTATACCTGCCTTAGAATTGTATTGAAGATGTTTTGATGACAAGCATGTTTTTTAGGTACAATGTGATTTTTTGACTATTGATGAATGGAGATGTGATAGTCCCAAGTGGGCAAAGTTTTCACCTGGGGTACAGTAACAACCTGATATTTAGAAAGAGAGATTTCTTCATTGAACACACAAACCATACACAAGGTGTAATGCCATGGTAAGGTAGAAATTTGTAGTTTGCAACATGAACAATTTCTTTCAATCATGGCTGTTTTTTGTATCTCTGCTGTAATTGAAGATTTCCTGCAGTCTTTATTTTTTAAAAAATGGCAGGTGTTCAAAGTGATCTTTTGAGGAAATGGTATCTCTCAATTCAGTGTAAATGCACCCAAATGAAATATAACAATGATTATATAAATTGTGGAAGACTGGTTAGAGATAAAGTAGCACGGTCTTGCTGAAATGGAAATTAAAATGTGTTTATGTTTAATATGCATTAATTTTTCTGGATAGCTAGATAGATCTTGGCAACTATAATTCAAACTTAATTTGCAAAAAAATATGGGAGTTTTCATGGGCTGAATCTGCCAGCTATTTTCAGCCAGCTAGTTTTCATTTTCAGGGTTTTAGAATCACAAATGAACTGTTCAGCCAGTTTTCACTTAAAAAAGAGGAACAGAAGCCAAGTGTATCATCAGCCTGTTCCCAGACTGGTACTGAAGGTAATGTTGGATGAACAGATTAAAATTGTGAGAAGCCAATGAGAGATTTAAAGCTCAAGGGAATCAGTAATAAGATGTGGCTACATATTCCTTCCAGTCATTCAATGAGAAGATGTAAATAATTTTTATCTGCCATCGTTCATTTCACTTATTCCTGTGCAGTACCAAAATTATGCTGTTAACCTGCTTTGAAAATAATAAAGACGCAGTCTGGCTTCTTCAACAGCTTTACTCACAGTAATAGTCTTGTACTGGGGTCATTCAGGTGAATGAGGATTGTGTGGCTTGGCCCCAATTTCTTCATAGGACAGAGAACTCCTCAGTCAGAGGAATTGTCTTCTGTGTCTGCAGATAGACACGTTTTCTTTGGTAAATAGTTGCAGGGTATTTTTATGAATTGCTTATTCTTTTGCTTTTATGTGGTAAGTCAATTCACAGCGTGTTTGAGGGTAGATCTTAAAAAACCTGAAAAATATAGGAGATTTTAACCTCTGGCTTGTAGATTTAATGTTGAACTGGGTGAATATTTCAGTTTTTAATAACGGATAAAGCAACTACATCCTCCGTCAAGGACATAGCCTTTTATTTATTTTTGTTGACATTTATTATATCAACATGTTGCATGTCAAATATTTACCATAGACCTTGCAGATTTAAGAAAATGTTAGGAACAAGTTACTCCTCGGTGTAAATTGGACACAAGAGGACACAAGAGGACACAAGAGGAAACTTTTAGAATGAGAACATCAGGAGTTGGAATAATCTCCCCAGGGAAGTGATAGATTCCTCAACATTGGACACTGTTAAGATCCAGTTGGACAACATGATGAGCCATCTTGTCTAGACTGTTCTTTTGCCAGAAAGTTTGGACCAGATGATCCTTGAGGTACCTTCCAACCCAGTATTCTATGAATCTGTGATTCAATAGCTGCTGTTATTTGGAGAGTTACCAGCTGATATGTGTCTGTCTTCAAGAGCTTATTCTATTCTATAATAATATCACAGATTGTGTGGGATGAACATTTTTTAGCTGGATTTTAATTTATATTTTAGTTATAATAAAGGAAAGACTAGAAGTGGCCTACTTCAAATCACCACTGTTTCCCAAAATTGTGTATTGTGTAGTTGTTCTCATTTTTGTACACAATATGGAAGGAAGAGAACACAATATTAATTAGCATCAAGGTATAAAGTTTAGTGCAGTAGAAATGCAATGAAAAAAATTCAATAGCCCAGGAAAAGCTATTCAGATGGATGAGGGAGATCCAATTCATGCCTTCAAGGGAAGAGCTTTGGCTCCTATCTTGGCAGCAAAACTAAGTTGTGAAAATGCGATTGCTTAGTTCATAGTTCTCTAATGTGATTAATTTATGTGTATGTTCAGGAATTATTCAATATTAAATATTCTGGTTGTCTAGGATAAAAAATGAAATGTATCTCTAATCATAAAAACAGTAGATGAAGAGTAATCCCATGCTTGTATTCCCAAAGTTTGAGTTTCTCCAAGGATGAAATTCTTAGACATAGAGGAAATACTGAGAGCTTGCTTTTGCAATATGGAAGAGAAATAACTTAAGTGAGCAATGTTAGCATCTTCTCTTGTTTTCCAGGTCCGTGGGGAAGATGCATGGGAGATGAATGCGGTCCAGGAGGCATCCAGACGCGAGCCGTGTGGTGTGCCCACATGGAGGGCTGGACCACGCTGCCCACAAACTGCAAGCAGCCCGAGCGGCCGGACAACCAGCAGAGCTGTTTCCGTGTCTGTGACTGGCACAAGGAGCTGTACGACTGGCAGATCGGCAGCTGGAACCAGTGCCGGCCCGTCCTCTCCCGCAGCCACGAGAAGCCCCTGGAGTGCCTCAGAGGGGAGGAAGGGATCCAGACAAGGGACATCACCTGTATACAGAAGTCCAATGGGGTTCCTGCTGAAGATGTCATCTGCGAGTACTTTGAGCCGAAGCCCCGGCAGGAGCAGGCGTGCCTCATCCCGTGCCGGCAGGACTGCATCGTGGCCGAGTTCTCGCCCTGGTCCGAGTGCTCCAAGACCTGTGGCAGTGGGCTCCAGCATCGGACTCGGCACGTGGTGGCTCCGCCGCAGTTCGGCGGCTCAGCTTGCCCCAACCTCACCGAATTCCAGATGTGCCAGTCCAGCCCGTGCACGGCTGAAGAAAGCCTGTACAGCCTAAATGTGGGACCATGGAGCGCATGCTCGGTGCCCCATTCAAGACAAATAAGGCAAGCGAGGAAACGAGGGAAGAACAAGGACAAGGACAAGGACAGAGAAAAGGTGGTTCGAGATCCTGAGGCTCGCGAGTTAATTAAGAAGAAGAGGAATCGTAACAGACAGAATAGACAGGAGAACAAATACTGGGACATACAAATTGGGTACCAAACAAGGCAGGTCACGTGTACTCACAGAAATGGGAAAACTGCTGCTTTGAGGTAATCACTATTTATGTTTGAATACTTTAATTTTTATCTGTTTAAAGTAAGACATACATAAGTGGATTCTTTTACATAAACCCAAATCTCAAAATGGAGCTCATGCTATTTCCATTTCTACATCCATCATCAAGCTCAAGTGTTTGCTGTGATGTGAAACATTCAAACTGTGTTAGTGATCATACTAAGCGTCACGTACATGTGCACTATTAAGCTGTGCTAGTCCCTAGCCTCTGTTTCCTTAAATAGATTCCCCCCAAATGCTTGAAGATACATGTCAAATGTCTGCTCTGTTTCTGTGGGTTCAGGCAGGCATCTGCTCTCTAACAAGCATTTTTGAAATAGGTGATGCAGATGATGGGCACAAAGACTAACAACAAACTGGACTGAGTCAGACTTACATTAAAAGTATAAAACGAGAGAAGGATGCATGAGAAAGCAGCAGCTACTCATTCCAGTGTATTTTTTAAAAATAGATGAGCATGAAATATTGTTTGTCCCTCTTGATTCCTGTGGCAAAATTTCTGAAAAAGACTAAAACCTCTTTGTTTGTTTCATGTACTTCCTCTATTTCTTTCTCATCTGTACATTTATGCTGTCTGCCCTGGGTTTTTTCTGATATTTATTTTTATATTTTGATTTATTATTTTACTTTTCAAGAGTTCTGTCAAGCACTGATGTTTTTATAATTCTTTCCACAGGCTTCTGGATGCATTTCTAAAATTGTATTATCTTTGATTTGTTTTATCTGGAATTGTCTTGCTAGCTCATGTATTTCTTTCCAATCCCCCCAGAATGTTTTTATTCAACTCAAATATCTTCTTTCAGTCTAGTCTTCCTTTCTTTGGTGCGATTCTATTTCCTGCCCTCTAGTTCAATGCCTGATTAATCAATTTTACTTCAACTGTGAAATGACTAGGATATCTTGCTGAATGAGACTGACAGTCATTGCTGCTATGTTAGTGTTTAGGAACTTCTTTCAAGGTGTTTTACTTCTGAGTTTTTGTTGTGCCATTTAAAGATTCTATCACAGAACATGCAATTGCTTCCACCTTTTCATTTAGAAACCAAATAATACTTTTTTTTTCTAATGTAGAAACTTTTATTTTAATACAATTCCTTTCAAGACATGATCCAGCAGGGAAAGAGGAAAATGAAAAAGTTCCCTGGTTTAAGGGAAGAACTGAAAGACTTGGGTTGTTTAGTTGAAGGAGGGACGTATGGGTGAAGATGTGAATGAAATCCTATGAGTATGTAACAAGCCATCACAAGAAAGAGTGGAGCAATCTACTCTCTATATTATGGATATATTGGAAAAGCAGTAATGGGCAGATCACAGCAGTCCTGATTGAGGCTAGGCTTCTCAATACTGGGAATAATGAGACTGGAGAAAATTGCTTGGACCATGTGTGGCACCTCCATCTTCAAAGGTTTGTAAGCAAAGGCTAGAAAAATGCATGTGTCAGTGATGATACTCCTGAAGTAGCTCTTGATTAGGGAAGAGGGACTGACTGCATAGTTTTTTTGCAGTCTCTTCTAGGTCTAGTTTTCTCTAGTTCTTTAAGATTTTGCCACACTTCAGTGAAGGTCTTCACAAGAAATCTTAAAATCAGCAGCTCAGGCAGTCCCAGGTGTTGGCTGCAGCACAATCTCATTGGTAAAGCAAAAAACTGTCTTTACTCCTTCCTTTTCCAGCCTCACATCATGCAGCCCACACTGTGCTTAGCCCAGGAACATAATTACCCTTTAAATACAAGGAATAATTTATTGTACATCAGTTGCTATCAGACAGCAGCCAGGCACTCTTTTTGAAAGTCCCTAAGTTTTTGAAAGGTTAAGAAAATTATTGAGTAAAAAAAAAGGAAGGAATGACCCAGTCATGCCAAAGCTCTGATAAATCGTAAAGGAAAGTAAAAGTATAGTTGGAAGTCAGTGGCATACTTTACTCATCATCTTTACACTCACTCTTGAATTCACTTAGATCACCAGCACTGTCTTAAGTTCTGATACCACAGTGTCTTGTGCAATTTGAGGCTGGTATAGGAAGTGAATGAAACTCTCTTGCCTCAGGCAGTGAAACAATAGATAATACAATGTAGGATCAATTCTTCAAAGAGGTGAAAATTAAACAAATGATGCAGTGAGCATTTTTATGTCTAATGGAAAAATTTTATGTTTTAATTGCACAAAGGATTTGTAGTACTCTTCACATCAATTTTAATATAGACTTTTTTTCCAGTTACATAGAATAAACAAGAAGATTTGGTGAAATTACTCATGTGAGAAATTCTGGTGCTGGCTGGTAACATAGCTTTTAGAGACCAGTGTATATCAGCTGTATATCCATTTACATCATTTATGCTGCACCCTTCACTAAGCAATCAAATGCTTTATTCTGTGACTGCCATTGCAGAATCTGAAACAATAGAATTATTTTTCTGCCTGGGGTGTCAATGCAGCCAGCTCAAATGATTTTATAATTTACATCACTGTAACTGTGTTACTAAATAATATAGACAAGAAAGGTGACTGGAAAACCTGCTGTTCTCATGTGAAATGCTCTGCAGCTTAAATAGTCCATTTTCAGTGAGTTTTGACTTTAGCAATCAGAAACAATCAGCCCCCTGGCAGCATGACTGAAAGAAGAATAAAAACCCTCAGGCGAGTAATATTTTTTGCAGAGATAGCAAAATTGATATTTTATAAAAAGGGTTTTTAAAAAGAACAACTTTCAGAAGGGTGCTACAGAGAAAATGGTTCTGTAACACTGTCAGCAAAACTTCAAAAAGGCAAAATTCTCTTGACATATCAGCACGCCAGGCATGGTAAAGAGAAGTGAAACAAGAAAATCAAAGTTTAATTTATATACTTTATTGCTGAGTGAACAATAGATATTCTCCCGTGAAGGATGAAATATTGGATTTCATATTGCTCATTCTGCAACAATGTATGTGTTACACAGCTATGTTCCCCTTAGTCTGAATTTCTGGTACACTGAAAACATTTGAAAAATAGGAATGTTAAAGGAAAAAACAAATTCAGTAATTAAAAGTGGCTTAGAAAATAACTTTTCTCTGGATAGCTAACAAAATCTAGACAGTGCTGCTGTTAGTGTAGAGGACAATACTTGATTGTCTGAAATGTTCCTCTTTGATTAAACTGGGGTTTACCAAAGAGAGCTGTTAGACAACAAACTGGCAATGTAGAGAAACATCAAATGTATGAAGAAGCTAATTTTGAGTTGCAAACCTATTTGTCCTATTACAACTTGTGATTATCATGCATCATGTTAAGCCTAAAATTTTCTGTTGTAATATAGACTTTCTTTGTGAGAAGACTTTAGTGAGAAATGTAACAAAAATGTTTGGCTGGTTTGTAGAAGTTGAAGAAAAGTTTGGGTTTGTTTTTTTTGGTTTTTTTTTTTTTGTTTGTTTGTTTGTTTTAAAGTTCATACAACTTTTTTACTTAAATGCTTTCTAGGGACCCCACTAGATTGGGAAATTTGGAAGGACTTGAGCAGAGACATTTATAACTATAAGAATATGGGGCAGAACTAGAATATCGTGACCTGTATGTTTCTGGGCTTCAGCAAAGATTTTGAAATCCAGTGACAAAGCACATCGTGTTCTCCTGAAGCATCTGATCCATAAGTGTGGGGACAGGTTGTCACTGCTAAGAGTCACTTAACTCAAATGGCTGGAAAGGGGACTGTAGTTAAAGCAGTTCTTCAAGGATGTAACTGCCTCTTGAAAAAAAAAAATCCAGGATTTTCTGTATTATTTCCTTTCTTTTTCTTCTTGTATCATTTGGATACAGCTTGTTTTCTTGCTTACTCTCATACCAAAACATCTCAGAGTGAGGGGAAGTATGGAGGAGATCACGTAGGAAAGCATCCCCACCAGCTCTTGTTGCAGTCCCCATAAATGGTTAATACTCTCTTGGCAGCACCACTGTGGAAGAGACCTGTATGTGGAGATGAACCTTATTGGTGATCTAAATGACCTGAAGTGAGAATTAAAAAAACAAAAAACCAGTAGAATTTTATAAATATCCTGAGCTTTTATTTATTTGTTAGAATATGCAATTACAATTGTGGAACAAAATGAAGAGCCGAAAAGAATCCAAAATTTAAGACACGCCAACTATTTATTTAGCAGATTGTGTTAGCCTTAATGCATTTGATCATATGATCATCTTTGATTTGTTTCACCTTTGTTCCTCTGAGAAAGTACTTATTTTTCAATTATTTTCATCTTCTTCACTGATTCTGTGCATTCATTAAATATCTAGAAAAATATATCCACATCTTGTAACAAATTTAACTCTTTTGGAAGTTTTCATAATTATTTTATTGTAGTGTTTTACTAAATTTCAAGTTTTGGAGAGTTTGAGCTTCTATTTATTCCAATACTATAGTTGAGACATAGAGAGGACAGTAGGACTAAAATTATTGAATGGTCTTGTTGATGTTGGGCATATGTAATGCTCAATTTTTTATTTTACTTCACAAAGATGTGTATCTGCTTAAGCAGAGTCATGATACTCACTACTGGCCACAGGTGTTAAGCTGAATAGCCAGAAATTAAGGAATTTGGGAATGGCCAATTGAGGATTTCAACTGATGAGTGAATAATACTCAAGATAGTGTCAGGAAAAGCAAGGAGAGAGAATCTCTTCTTCTAGAATGGCATTTTAGCTTTATTTTCCTTTCCAGGTCCTGAAACCTCTTAAGCCAATGCTCCCATTCTAAATCATAAAATAAATGTCTGCATTTACTTTATGAGCTTACACTCATATAAACTATAAACTGTGTGAAGGAGGAAAATAAAAACCAAGCCAAACCATCAGAAGCCTGTTGCTTTATTTATGGCACTGATTTGGAAAGCAGACAAGGAATATGCTGTCAGCAAACAGAGAAAAGATTCAGACACACAATACAGCAGTGCAGTTTGTTGGGCCCTGTAATGTATCCCTTGCTTAGAAAAAAAAATCTTAAGAGA